CCAAGGTTCCTGGTATTTTAATATACAAGTGTCTGCTGTACGCAAGGCAAAATTTTATTTTAAATAGAAGCAAATATAGTCAAGCTAATAGAAGTCAAAATTCTATACTAGATTTTCTTGTTTTATATGTAATTAAAATATTGATGACCATTGTATTTGTTTCTTAGTTATGAGTCGCCGAGGAATAATGATTCGATAGTATACTATACAATTTTCACCTATGCAGGGGGATTTTGCTTACTTACTCATATTTCTGTTGCTAGTGCCGATTAGAGACACAGCCAATAATACAGTGGTATGTTATAAACAATTTAAGGAGTTACTTCTTTCTCCGCTTTTCTTTGTTTTTTTAGGACATTTATGTTTTTGAAGCGTATGTGTCACTTATTTTTCATGACGTTCCTCAATTTTTCTTTTTCTTTTGTTTCTTCATAATCAAATTAAGGTTATGATTTCTTGCCTAAAAAGGTACATAAATGGTGTTGTGGTCTTGTATCACACCTAGAGACACATGATGTTTGCCGCTTTTGGGCGATACCAATTTTGATCTCTGGTTAAGATCTTTGTTTTCTTCACTGCAAAATGACTATTTTTGTTTTGTAACTAGCAAGCAGTTGTGGGTGGAAACTTTGTGACTGTATTTCAAACCAAACTTCCCCGCCTAAGTTTAGTATCCATTGATGATTTTTAATTGAATCAATTTCTTAGAATTTTTTATTTTGATTTTTATGTAATTTTAAACTTAGAGAAAAATTGCAATAATAATATAAGGAACTTTTATATATTTTTTGTTTCCAATTCACCAATTATTTACATTTTACCCATTTAAGCTGTAAAATGAGTATGAGTCCCTGTCTCAAGTAGTGTTGATTTTCTTTGTTTCCTAGTTTCACTGTAAAGGGTTTATTTGTTTTCTTATTATTATTACTGTGTGTAGTTGTATTTTTTTATAATTCTAGTTCTTTCTGTGTTCCCTCTTCATTTAAGGTTTCTGAATACTGATCATTTTCTGATAAATTTTATGTGTGGGTGTGGGTATGTGCATATAATACATATGAACTTAGCAATTCTATTTACTTTTTAAATTACTCTTTAAAATGGGCATGGGACAAATATTTTTCAGTCACAAAGTTCCATAGAAAAGGCTCTGGAATTTAAGAAAGCCAGCCTACCAACTCTTTTAGTCATGACTCTTAAAAATTACCTTTCCTTGTGAGTATTCTTTGATTCATTTCAATTCAGTTCAGTTCATTTAAATTCAATTCAATTCAACAGATATAGAGTGTCTAATGTATCTAAAAGATACTGTAGAAAAAATCAGGTATTAAAAAGCCTTTAATTTATAATGCTTTGCAGTTTCCAAAACACCTTTGAATACACATTTTCTTCATTGTTATTACCAATAACTCAGGAAAGTAGATAGTTCAGATAGATTTATTCCCATTTTATATGAAGAAATTGAGGTCTTGAAAGATGGTGACTTAACCATAGTCCCTTAGCTAGTGAGTGACAGCTGAAGCATGAACCAAAGCATAAGCTCAGGGCTCTTGTAGATTTTCCTTTACCACTTTTATGCAACGACTAAGGATACATTAATTTATGCAAATTTCTGGCCACAACGAGGGTGTGTTTTTATTTAGTCACTTAATATTTATTTTAAGTGCTTCAAGGGCTGGGATAGGATCAGTAAAATAAGATCAAGACAGTATCTCATAGGTTCATATGAGTAAGGTGCTTTTCAATTAAGGCAGTGACCTGTATCAAAATGCTTGGAGTGGTTACAGCATGCTTTTTCTTGCTTCATTGGTGGGTCTGTTGCACATGACCGTTGGAAGTAGTGGTGGGCTGGGATTAGAGACTCTGATTACTGTGATCCGTGAGTCAGATCGGTATGCTCAGGATCTTTACTTAATTAACATGCACCATCAAATTGATGTTTTCCTTATGGCATTGTGGAATATGTCCATGCAACATCTTCCCTCTTTTTACCCATTATCCTTCAAAGGTTCAGTGCCAGAAAGAACAGTACTGTATCTTTATTTTCTCATCACATCCTCTCTCGAATAGATCTTACTTTCATTGCTCTCTTTCCAATTTGGCTCTGAGTCACTGCTGTGATTCTAGCTGTTGAACAGTCTTTCAAGTTAGCAGTTAGCATTCTGGTTAAGTAAAAATTGTCATGAGGCTGCCATTCTTACCAGTGTAGCTAGGGTAGTTTTATTAAATCAGTTATTAGGGCCCTGTTGTCAGAGCGTATAACAATTGCATGTCACAGTCCTCCCTAAATATTGATACTTGAGATTTACTGGAAATGAAATCTAAAACTTTATTATACTTCTAGTTCTGAGGTTAGAGAAACCAATCGTCTGTCAAGTTCAATAAAGCCACATTTGTGCTGTTTAATATTTTAAAAGAAAACTTAAACCGTTGTAGTCTGTCTTTACTGTTTTTGCCTTACCTGATTAAATTTTGCTGTTGTGTTAATTAATAAGTTCAAAGGAAATGTTCTAATTAATTTCTGTCATAACTGGGAACCATAATAAGTTAGAGTACTTTGGAAAGCATGATAACACCTGCTCACTAGTAAATATCAATTCTTTTTCTGGCTCTTTTCCAGTCCTACTGTGTCTTAATGTGTGAACCTCTTACCATCTGGGTACTTCAGTTTTCCTCTAAATTTAAACAAACAAAAAGTCTTACCTGTATTCTACCTAATACAGTTTTGAAAGATAATGGGAGGTCATTGAAGTGCTAGTTAAAATCGCTAACTATTTAAAAATCGTTGGCTTTAAATATATACTATCTTTAAAAAGTAATTTACTACTTAAAAACCGTTGACTCTTTTAGTGTACTTCATTGCTTAGTCTAAGACCTCTATTTTTAGAATACAGTGTATTTGAAGACCAAGCTTTATTGTTGAATTTGACAGGCATGGCACAAGGCCAGTGTAATGAGCCCAAAGGGAGAATTTGCAGGATATGCAGGTTGAAGGAGCCTTGGGACTGACTTTCCACTAAGTCCAGGCTACCCGTGTTCATTCCCGTGGATGGGAGATTTGCTTAAAGTTGACTGTTGTCTTCCTTCTGTACCATCTGATTCCAATCTGCACTTGTCTTTTATAGCTCGAGACGGTCGGATGGCAGCTTAACCTTCAGATGGCTCACTCTGCTCAAGCGAAACTGAAATCTCCTCAGGCTGTATTACAGCTAGGAGTGAGCAATGAAGATTCAAAGGTAAGAACTGGTATCTCATTGAAATGTATATGTTGTTTACTAGGTCTTGTACTTTATTGTTAGCAGGGTCTTTGCCCTCTGGATTGAAAATTTAAACACAATTAAATAAGGATTAATGAATTGTCAGCTCTTTATTTGTGACAGTTTTTGATATCAGACTGATTTATCACTTTATTATTCATTTGAAGAAATGTCTTGCAGGATACCTTTCTTGCAAGAGCTTTTCATAATGTCTCCTTTTAAATTCTGCAATGGGAAAACTTGGTAATGCCAGATAAAAGTCAGATATTTAATGATTCAGGTATTTGTGGATATTTCTGGGTGTTTTAAGCTGCATACATATGGTGGAGGGAATACTGTTGTCTAGCCAATGCCTGGATTATGAAGGTAACATGAGTTGTATTTGTGTGTGTGTATTTAAATCCCAATTCTTGCAAAATAGAATTTTGGATTCATTTTTTACCTCATGGTGATTTCTCCTTAGTGTTAATTTCAGGAAGCTTGAACGTGTTATCAAGTTTAAAGAATTGGCATGAAGTATTTTCTTTACTGTAGCATTTAGAGAAACTTATATTTAAGATATCAATAAAAGCTGTTTGTTGTATTTTTGTTGTAATTGGTTATGTTTCTAAGATAGATAAAGGAGAGTGACTTTTCCCCCTAAATGAGGAGACTTTACTTCATTTTAAGACAAAACAGAGGTGAGAGTGAGGTAGGAAGATCTGAGGAAGGAGAGATTACTATGCCTGGATGTGATCAGAGAAGGACGGGAGAATGTTACTGGTTATAACGGGCACTGAAGGAGGGAGTGTTACTCCTTCTTTGTTAGAACTGTCATCATGCAGTATATCATACACATTTTTTTTTTTTTAAGATTTTATTTATTTTTTTGACAGTGAGAGAGTAAAGAGAGAGAGAAAGAGCACACAAGCAGGGGGAGTGGGAGAGGTAGAAGCAGGCTTCCTGCCAAGCAGGGAGCCCGATGCGGGACTCGATCCCGGGACTCCAGGATCACGACCTGAGCCGAAGGCAGTCGCTTAACCAACTGAGCCACCCAGGCGCCCTATCATACACATTTTTGTCTTCCGTAAGAACCGGGTCCAATACCTAGCCCACGTTCCATGTCTGTAAAATTTTAGGCAATTGAGTTGGGTCTCACTGCATATCATTTATTAATTCATTGCAGTGTTTCAAAAGTATTTCATTTCACACATTTTACGTTAATATAATATAAATAATAATATGTAAAATAATATAAATTTAGTGGTTAAGAGTTGAACTGACTGGTATATATATTCTGGAATTTAGTAGCAGTGTAGCTTGGGGTAATTTACTTAATTAATCTTTATGAGTGTCAGTTTCTTCGCCTGTAAGATGGGGATAATATCACCTGTCTCGTGGGGTTTATATGAAGAGTGGAGACCCAGTGTGTGTAGTGCTTAGTTCAATGCCTGGTATTAGGTAAATGCTCAAAAATGCAGGCTACCACCATCACCACCATCATCGTCATCAATAGAATGTTTTTTGGCCATTGAATAAATAAATGTCTTTGTTTTAAACTAAAGCTGACAGTCAGCTTTTTTACTGATGGAGTTAACCTTTTCCCTTTCTTTGCCTTCTTCCCCTCTTTTATTTCTTGATTGTGATTTTCATATTTAGGCGAACTGGGAATTGGGGAGGCAAGGGACAGCCTGGAAAGTCCTTTTTTTCTTCCCATGAACTAGGTAGGGAAGGCAGTCCTTTAGGTTTAGCATAATGATCTGGAACTCCCTGGTGTAGACTGGGACTGTTGTGAGTGAAGACACACGTATGTACCTGTGTGCGTCGTATATACGTACACATGCATCCATTCCCTAAGGGGCCATAGCCCTTGACTGTTGCACTTCTCATGACTACCGTACGTTATGTCTCAGTAGCTAAATGCAGTTTATAGTTGGGACGGATACTATTTTGACCATATATTGGGTATACTTCAAGTATCATGGTTTAGGCAATGCTTGACTTTGGGATGCATGACTCCTCCCAGCTCCTTTATTATGTCTTTAAAATATGTTTATATGTCAGTTATAATTTTAGGCCGTAGGAGGGAATGAGTAATGCTTCTAGTAAAGGAGTCATGTTTTTAATTTGTATTATTCAGAAAATCTCCACAGTTGTAAAATTCAACTCATTGGAGATAGAGGCTTGACTACATTAGATTTTCCTGCGCATTGCTAGTTTGAAATTTTGAATGGACTTTTGGTTACCCTTACAACCTGTAGAGCTGGAGGACCATTTTCATCGGCAGACAGACCCCTGGGAAGAAGAGCAGCACCACACAAAAGCAAAGGATACTTTCGGGGCGCCTGGGTGGCTCAGTTGGTTAAGCGTCTGCCTTTCACTCAGGTCATGATCCCAAGGGCCTGGGATCGAGCCCCACGTCAGGCTCCCTGCTCAGCGGGGAGCCTGCTTCTCCCTCTCCCTCTGTGCTCTCTCTTGCCCACTCTCAAATAAATAAATAAAATCTTAAAAAAAATAAAGGAGATTTTCATTTTGTATGCAGACTTAAGTCAACCTCTTTGTCTGTATTGCTTATTTTCCCTATAGCACTGTGGGGATTTGGCCCCTGTTTGTTATGTCTGCTAAACAGGAGACACTTAATGAAGTGTCTACCCCCTGTCAGCCCGGACAGACACTTGCCATCTCCAAGTGATGTGTGTCCTAGCTCTAAGGAACAGTTGACTAGCACACCCCTGTTCTTTCATTGAGCTGCTGCTGGGAAGCATACTTTTTTTTTTTTTTAATCTCTCTTTTTGTATGACCGGGTACTCTGGTCTTTGTACTCGAATGAGAGTTTGGGAATTCTTGACAGGTTGAAATATTAGGTGAAAGGAATGGGAATATGGAGCATGTTTTAAAAACCAAGTTTGTTAAAAGAAGGCAGAGCTTTTATTCAAAGAACCATGAAAAGCTAAGTGGTTAATTTATGATGCGAAGTATCTTAGAATACAGTTGCCATATGATGAAATTGGCATTCCTTTAAAACAGGAAGCATTAAATAAAATTCTTTTAAGTGTATATGACACAGGGCAGTTATCCTGAAAATATACATGCATTAAAATAATTCTGAGAGGATTAGTCAGTAAATATTATGAGAGAGACTATTCTTGATGGTGTTTATTTTTGAGCTGCTGAACTGAAAACTTCCTGTAATTCACCAAAGTGTGTGGTTTCTAAAAATCTTTCTTCTCATTCACTTCCAACATACACATGAAAAGTGTAGCCTGCAGTGAAATTTTAATTGCTATCACATTAGATAGCATTGTTGTAATGGTCTCCTTTCTCTTGGAACTTTCTTGTCTCAAGGCTTTCCTGTTTTGCTGCTAATTTTATCATGAAAACTGGATGATTGTAGCTTTTCCTACAGTATTTTGATATATATTCTAGTTGTTTGCAGTTAATTGTCTTAGTATTTGTCTACTGCATTTAGCAGAGTAAGATTATTTTTCTGTTCCGAGATACCTCTAAATGAGAATTTTTTTTTCTTTTTGGTTTATTTCGTTAGAGGGCAGTAGAGCTCTTTGCTTATCTAACCTCTGGCATTTACAGTGTTATTTGAAGTAACATTCAAAATAATGTGTGAAATCAGTAGTTGTGGGAAATGCTAAGTGTTCACATTTCTAATCTGTATATAACAATAGGGTGCTCTTGTTTCCATCAACGAAATTAATGCCTATTAATCAGATAGGTACAGAACAAATAAATGAAATCATTATGATTTCATTGTTTTAATTTCTTTATGATTATTTGCCAAAATGCAATTTATTAAAAAGCCTTTAACACTATTGACATTTTTGTTACATTCTGTCACTTGTATTAATTTCTGTATGAGAAAAGAGAGCAAAATAATCCCCAAGATAGTTGAATGACTCTAATAAGTTATATAGTGTAACTAGTTCCAGGCTAATCATAGACAGTTGAAATTTTTTTATTTATAGAGAACAGCAGTTTTATACTTAACAAACGTTGGTAATTTTGAATACTCAAAGCACTTTAACTTTGAATATTCTTAAAACACTGAAATATTTAAATTTTGCTGTAAAGCGTGCATTATTGCATTTTCCCCAGTAACTTTGCATTTATATCACGTTTTGTTAGTACAGTGGTTCTAAATTTTTTTGGTACATCTTTTAAGAAAGAATCTTTGTGTTTCATTCTTTTCTTCTTTTGAAACAACTGGGATAAAAATCACCTTGAAAGGGTACTGTCATTTATCTTAATGTTAAGTTGGATTATGCTCGGGTTGCACATGGTACTTTCTGGATGGGTAATTATGATTTCAGGTGAATTTAGGACTTTCAGTACCAATTTTTTGAGTTAGAGACCTTTATTCTTATCTCCAAAGTGGATGGCAGATTCTGTTTAGAGTGAAGAAAAACGAGGGAAAACCCTGTTTTAGTGCTTACTTTGTGCTAGGCATGATATCTCCTCCATTATTTAAACTACTTCTTTCAGGTGTGAAGTCTTATTATTATCCTTATTTTATAAAAAGATGGAGAAATGGAAACACATACACATTAAATTATTCCCTCAGGTTATACGACCAAAAAACAGTAGAACTAGGATTTGAAACCAGACAATTTTACTTCAGAGCCCTGTGCTTTATTCATTGCTAAGATACTGTATCTTTTTGCTTATTTAATAATTTAGTAGTTGATCGTGTAATATGTATATATGCTTGAGGGTGCTGAAAGCTGTTCTTCTTTTTTTAATTAATTAATTTCCTTGAGAGAGAGAGAGAAGGAGGAGCGGAGGGAGAGGGAGAGAGAATCCCAGGCAGACTCCATGCTGAGCGTGGAGCCTGACAGGGGGCTTGATCCCAGGACCCAGAGGTCACGACCGGAGCGGAAACCTAGAGTCAGGCGCTTAACTCACCATGCCACTCAGGCACCCTAAAAGCTGTTCTCATATGCAATTATTGTTTTATTGGTGGTGGTGGTGGTTCTCCATAAAGTGATAGG